AAATTACCATTACTGTCTTGATAAAGTTTTTCATTCGAACCTCGAAAAACTAAATTATGTTTAGAAAAACATTTTGCAACAAAAAATTATTCTAATTAAAACTTGTCTCCGACCTTCATTTTCTTTTGTAATTTTTTTTAATATCTTTATCAATTGTTTGATTTTTATTTAATCTTATTTTTAATTTATTCCAAGTATTCATATATATTATATGTTCAATACTATTTTCATGTTGTTTAAGTCTTTCAGCTAAATATTTCCAATATTTAAATCCATCATTTGCTAACAAATTATTTTTCACATTTTACAACAACAATAATATATTTTATTTACATGTTTAGAATAAACTAACTATTTTTTATCACTAATTTCTCCATTATTTAATTTTCTAGAATAATTGACATATGAAAAATGTCTGGAAGTCTTATCTACTGGAAAAGTAAAACCTAATTCTCTTCTAAGTCTATTTTCAATTAAAATATTCTTTTTTGTATACTATCAACATTATCCCAATTTTTAGGATCATAAATATCTAAATAAGAAATATCACTATCATCAATTTCTAATCTTATTTCACTATTATTATTATTATTATTATTATTATTATTATTATTATTATTATTATTATTATTATTACTACTACTACTACTATTACTATTATTCTTATTATTATTGATAATATTACTATCGACAATATTTTCGCTATTTAAATTTTCAATAGATTTAGAATGTTCAATACAATTATCATTTAATTCATCAAAACTCGTAGAATGACTTATATTCTTATTGAAAAATTTTATCTAAAGCTCATTTTTGTGATTTTATTAATTGTTGTTCTTGTTTTTTTTTTTTTTTTCTTTTTTCACTTCCTGATAAATGGTTTTTAGATAGCTTTTAAAAAATTTATAAATATAAATAAAACAATAAAAGAACAATACTACCTAATGAATTTTTCTCCTTTTTGCTTTACTGCCAATTTTTATTGTGTGTACTTGCTACTTGTATTGAAAAAATAATAAATAATATACATAATTAGTAAAAAGATATAAAATTTCAAAATTTAAACTAAAATATATGGTTCTAAAAACTAGACATATAAATGAAACAATAATATATATGTTTACTAATATATATAAGTATATAACAGAAGACAATTAAAAACATAATAAAATAATAAAAGAGTTTAATCCCTAAAATAAAAAAAAAAAAAATAAAAAAATTAAACCTTGTTAGTCTGTTACTTTGATTCTACGGAAAAAAAATAATTTGAGAGATTTAGAATTTGAATTTTCTTCTTCTTCTTCTTTTTCTTTATCTTGTACCTGCAATAAAAAAAAATACCATATAATAAATATTAAAAAATCAAATAATAAACATTAACAAAAATATACACTATTAAAAATTTAAAACAATAAAATCTAACCTTGATTCCGCTATTTTATTGTTATGAAATTTTAAGTTTTAATTTTAATTTTGATGTAAAAAAAATAAATTGATGAATAAATTATCAGACTATAAGTAAATAGATAAAAAGTAATCTTATAAAAAATTGCATATTGCATAAACAACAAATCACGGTGTGAAAGAACTGAAGATGAATGGATGAAAATGGAGAACATAGAAAGAAGGAAGAAAATAAGAAAATTGAGATAAAAGAAACTGATTAAATGAAAGAGGTTAAAAACGATTTAAAAAAATACACCTTCAATGCATAGAGCAACTATGCAACTTTGTTTTAAAATTTCTATGAGAGATTACATAGAAACTGTTTATTTAGGATATAGACAAAGAGTCTCTTTGACTTTTTTCGGTTATAAATTTATTATTTATTTTTATTTTTTAAAACATCCAATATATATATATACACATATATCTACATGGGACCTTTTTATTTTGAGCCCTGGGCGAGGCCCCTTTCAAAAAAAAAAAAAAAAGGTTAAAAACGATATAAAAGAACACACCTTCAATGCATAGAGCAACTCTGCAACTTCGTTTTAAAGTTCGTATGAGAGATTACATAGAAACTGTAACCACTGCAACTGCACGCCGCACTTTATTTATTTAGAATAGAGACAAAGAATCTCTTTAACTTTTTTTCAATCATAAATTTATTATTTATTTTTATTTTTTAAAACATCCAATATATATATATATATATAGGGACCTTGGTGTATGATTTTTATAAGGAGACCAATCTGCATCCATCACCACACACAAACACACCCAAATATTTGTGGCCCATTTAATTTTGGCCCAAACCCATTGACGCCCAACCCAAGTCCAACCTGACCCGTCTGCCCGCTCCATGACCCACGTCCTTTTACTAGCCTTGATCTGGACCATTGGATCTAGGGATTTTATTCCTATCGTCCGATCTTATTTAACCTACATATATATATATATATATGCCATGGAGAGACACTATCCTCTCCCACTCTCTATTTTCTCTCTCTATACATACTCTCTGTACCATCTCTCTTCATCCACGGCAATCTTCGGCAGTCTTCCGGTGACTTTCCGACGAGCTTTTTTCTCCTGTTTTTGTGGAGATTTAGAGGCGTTTTCCTTCGCCTATTTCAAATCAAATTTCAAAGGGTTCGGTTTCAAGTTTTGCCTACGGTTTGTGTAGTTTTTTACTTTTTCGGCCATTGTTTTGTCGTTTGCTCTGTTTTTTTTATTTACATGTGGGGATATTTTTGGTTGTGCCATGGGTCTAGGGCCGGTTTCGCGTGTTTAGTCGTGATTTTGGGTTTGTTTGTGTGGATTTGTGTTTCTTAGGAGTTGAGCCTAAAATCAAATCCTAGTTGAAACTTTTGTTTGTTATTTCGTTGTTTTTATTTAATAAAATCAAGTTTATTACGCATTTTTTATTACAATATCATGTTACATACTCCCTCAATCCATTAAATTAGCTCACTTGGATCCAATATGAAGATTAAAAAAAATATATTTTATTGAAAAAGTGATAGATAGTTTGGGGTATTTTTGAAAATTTAGTTAGAAATTAAGTTAATGAAGAGATAATGTAATAGAGTTAGTAGTATTTGTTGTAAATAAGTGTTTAATTGATGGTAATAATTACATGTTGATTTGTTAATTTTGCCAAAATTAGTAATGAAATAAATTTAACGGACGAACTAAAAAAAAGTCGGAATAAATTTAGCGGATGGATGAAGTAATATATATTTTTACAATTTTTAACTATTTAAATACGATTAAAGCTCTAAGGATGTGTTCTTTTTGTGGTTTTTTTTTTACATATTTTTTCTCAAAAAAATTAATACATTACACAAATTTATTATTCTTATATCACATGCTCAATTTTTTATATTTCACATAAAAAAAAAAAATACTCTTTCAAATTATTTCACAAAACAAACACACCCTGTGTTTTTTCAATAATAAAAAAAAATATACACACATTTTCTAAAAAATATGAATATATCGTATATATTCATTATTTTTATATCTTTTACATAATTTCTCGTATCTCACATTAAAAATTTCTCCTTCAAATTATCTCACAAAAAACTTTTGGTACAGATAATGAAATTGTAGAGATACGCAAATAACAAATAGAATGGAAGAGAAAAATGAATTCAATAGAGCGGACAATTAACTTTTTTGTTTGGTAAAACAAATAATTTAGTTGAGAAATATAAAAATTGCAGCTATTTGGATGGACTGATAAGACTAAATGATTAATCGGGTAAGAAAAAATATTTAACGATTGAGAATTCATAAAGATATATTTTTGGTGATTTTTTAATTAAATAGTAAACTAGATACGATGTTTTGTAAAATCAAATTTTAATGCAATTTTATAAAAAATAGTAAAAATAATAAATATTTAAATAATAAATTAAATGTGATGTTTAATAAAAATTGAAATAATATAATTTAAAATATAAAATAATAAAAAAAATAAAAAATAAATATACTGTATCATATACAAATTGCTGCGTTACAAAATCAGATAAATAAAACCATTTTCATTTCTCTGTACCAAACATACCCTTAGAAATTGAGACAGAAAAATTGAAATGTCTCTTGTTTGGTTGAGACAGAGAATTCGGAAATAAACAATTTTTTATTCTCTAGTTTCAGAAATAGAGAAAAATGAAATCAAGAGAGTAAAAATTTGTTTATATATTTATTTATTTTATTTTTTAATATTTAACTTTTACGATTTAATTTATGTTTATTTTTTTATTTTTTTATTTTTCTTACTATTATTTAATTTTAATAATTTTAGTGTTATTCAAATTTAATAAAATATCATATCTAAATTATTACTAAAATAAATTATCAAACTAAAAATATAACTAAAAAATACAATAATATTTTTGTTATCTATTTTATCATTTTTTATGAATCAATATTTTTTTTTTAACTAGCAATATAGTATTAATTTTTTTATTTTTTATTTTTTTTTACATTTCTCAACTAATTTTTTATTTTACAATTTATGCAATTTCATTATTTACTGTCATTTCTCTTGAATTTTACCAAACGCATCCTTAGACTTTTACGAGCTTCTGGGTATGAGTTTCACTCAAACTCGTGTGATAATAATTGATTTTTCTTTTGTAATATTTTTATATTACTAGATTCTATAATAAATGTTTATTTGAGGGTTTAAATTTTGAATTCAAATTTGAATAGTAAAAATTTTGAATTTAAATAATTGTACGATGCTATATAAATATGTGTTGATACGGTAAAATTGATTTTTAGTATAATAAAAAAAATAGATATTTAATTTGAAGTTTTTTGGGAAAAAAAATAGAATATTGTATTTAAAATCCAGATTAAACACGCCCTTGACAAAAACAATGCATTTTAATTTAATAATTTTAAAGGAAAATAAAAATAAATATAATGACATAGTATATCCATATGTTGAAGGAATGCATTTTAATTTTAAGATGGCCTCTGTATCCTCTACTAATTCTTAACAAGATGTGGAAGTATGATTTGTGATTGTGACCTAAAATCAAACTCGGAATGCTGAGCGATAATGGGTTCAATCAAACCTTGGAGCCTCCGAGTCTGCCTCGTTAGTTGAGTCCACGTTCCTGTTAGTCGGCTGGCTGCGAATTTTCTTAGCACGATCGAATTTGTCTTTCATTTCTATTACTTCTTTCTCTCTCTTTCTCTGTCTCCTCCGTTACATTTCCATTTCCATTTGAACTCACGCCATTACATACACACACCACCATCATTGCATCCATCTTCGTTATTAATGAACACAGGTGCTTCATTCCAATCTTTTATTTTTCGGCATCACACCCCAAGATGCGCAGCCTACACGCACTCGCGGTTTAACAATGCCCAGCGTTTTGCTCTCTGTTAATTCATCATTGTGGTTAGATTACTTTCTTATCGATCTATATTGCCTCCCCTCTGTGATTCGGTTCATCACTTTCTTCATCTTTGTGTTTGTACCCTAATAATTCCATGCCATTGGCCGACTATATGCTTTTGAATTCGACCTACAAAACAATATCTGAATGGGCATTTGGGTTGGATCTGTAAAAGGATTAATCCTCATTGATAGAGAACCTAGCTAGCTGCTGCTGCTCCACCTCCATCAACTCTCATGCGTCATTGCTTTTGACTTAAAATTGTGACTTTTGGTAGTCACATATTTTTCTTTCCTAGATCCCAAACCCTCCCCAGATCAATGATGGTCGCATCCGTTATTGGTTTCCTAAATTAATGTTTGTTCTTTTGCCCTTTTCCTTTACATTATAATGCTTTCCTTATTTGGTCTGCTTTGATTATTACTTGCAGGTGGGCACTTCTAATGTTTAGGCTGTCTTTGTGGTCATTGTTTTGATATCTAGTGCTTTCAACCTTTCAGGCCTTTTGGCCTCCTCTAGCTACCTGGACATATCATTGGGTTACAATTTTATAGAGTTAGTCCAGCCTAGAAGCAACTCTAATAGAAGAGGAAGAAGAAGCAGAGGAGGAGGAGGAAGAAGAAGAAGTGGAGGTTGAGGAAGAATCCTTAAATTGTGTAAATTGTGATTTGAACTTGGCGCTGCTACCTCACGTATGTACCACATAAGCATATTCTACATACTTCTTAATTGTCTTTAGAGCATCACCTATGGTGGAGTGGATTGTTGGAGCATTCATCAACCTCTTTGGCAGCATTGCCATCAATTTTGGGACAAACCTTCTTAAATTGGGTCATGATGAGGTACATAAGCTCTAAAAATAAATGCTTCTTAATTTTTAATACAGTTTTCTGAAATTTTTAAAGCATGGCTTTCCTATATGTATGTATATATATATATATATTAGATTACTGTTAAGTTTTATGTATAACAGGATTAGCCGATTACATATTGTGGTGGAAGGATGATAAATAGATAAATACATCCATATGTTACAATTGTTTGTAATCCTGGTACCTCATGCTGTTTATTTCTTTGCATCCATTGACACGGAAAGGAATATTCTACTTTACCAAAAGTTTTTAATTTTTCATCATCCAAATGGTCATTAAACTCTAACAGAATGATTAATCTTCTTTTGATGATTAATCTGGGCTTCTGATGGAAAAATATCATATTGAAATCCTTGTCACTCTTGCAAGAACAACTATGTGGTGGAAAAGGATAGAAACAAATAACTAAATCCACTGAGGTTCATGTCTTTGCAATACTGGATACTGGTTCCTCATACTATTTTTTAGTACTTTGCATCCATAGGTATCTTCTAAAATAATACTCTACTTTACCAAAAGTTTTAAATTTTATCATCATCCAGGTGGTCACTAAATCTCTACTTACTTACAGAATGATTATATCTTTTGATAATTGATCAGAGTTTTGGATGGAAAACATCATCTCGAAATCCTTGTCACTCCTAATACTTATCTTTTACCTTGGCTTAGTTCATTATCTGCATCCTTATGCAGAATAATTGATATGGTTTGAATTGTGTGGCTATGGGCATCCAGAAAATATTTTTTCATGATAATTAATCTGGAATACATCAATGATCTTATAAGGTCATTATAGTTTAAGTATCACTAGTTACCCGCTGGAAGAGAACTACGCTTCTATGCATGCACTGAAAGGAGGACATAGCATGTAAAGGGAAAAGAATTGGAAACAAACTGGTTGATATATGGAATAGTAGGCTGACTTATGAGATTCATAATTGACAGCCAAGCAAATTTCCTCTTTGAGTTAATTATCCATAGTTGACATGAGAATAAAAGGCTGCATATCTCATCCTGTGTGTTGAATGGATTGTCTGGTCATGTTGTTGCATTGTAAAGTGTTACATAAAATGTTATTTATGTTAATATGATGTGCTAAAGTAAACACTGTTTTAAATTTTGAGTGTCCGTTACTTGGTTCACATATTCTTTTTTTCCTTTTTTTTCTGTGCTGTGCCTCATTCATTTCTCATTCCAAAAGTGAATAGTTGAACAATATAAGAACCAGAACTTCACTAACTTTTAAGTGGTGTTCTTTTATTCTGTTGTAACTGGCATTGTTTTAATGGCAGAGAGAAAGGTATTCTGTAGTTAGCCATGAAGCGGTGCATGGAAAAGCTTTGATGAAGCCTATAATATACTTCCAGACCTGGAGAATCGGTAACTGATATAACTGCTGCATGCTTTGAGTAATTACAAGAAATGTCTGGCATTGAGTAAAAGATGATCTGTACGCATGCAGGTATACTTTTTTTCATTCTCGGGAATTGTTTAAATTTCATTTCCTTTGGATATGCTGCTCAGGTAAGTGATGTAATTATTGAAACCTTTCGAAGAGAGCTTCGATGTATAGTGTATTTACAGATCAGGACATAACTGTCTGCTGAATGTTTTAATTGTATCAGAAGAAGCTGTTTTTTTTTTTTTTTCCTTATATATGGGTTAATATTTCTGGTTATGTTGCAGTCTCTCCTTGCAGCTCTGGGATCCATCCAATTTGTTTCTAACATTGCATTCGCCTACTTTGTGCTAAATAAAACTGTGACTGTCAAGTATGTTCAAATCTAAAATTCTTAAGCTTGAATGTTCAACTCTAAGAAAATTTCATTTTTATCCCTTTACCCTCCTTATTAATATAGATGAGTGATATCAATATGTTACTTGTTTTACAGTGTACTCGTTGCCACAGCCTTTATTGTTCTTGGGAACATCTTTCTTGTGGCCTTTGGAAATCACCAATCACCAGGTTTGTTTTCACTCCACCTTTTATTATATGACAGATAATGGATATCTAGTTTTGATGGTAATAATTGGAAGTAGTCTGTAGAATCCAGTTTTTCCTGGAGGGTGTGGGGGTTGTGGTTGAGGTTGTAAACATTAATAAGCTAGATGATGTTTTGAACACAACAAAAGCAGTTTTTCTTCAGATGCTTTACATACTGTTCTAGAATGGGATGTACTGTGTTGCAAGCTGCGGGCTTCTGCCGCAAATCAATGTTTATTCTGGATAACTTTCAGTTTCTTTATTATATAAGCTTTATTACTGCTGTTCGGTATGGATTGTTCATAATGTATCTAGGAGTTTCTTTGTGTTCGTTGACATCCTAGATGCTCACTTATGATGATAACATTTTGACCAGGATAATCTTACATAATTTGAAGACGGGGAAAAAATGTTACTAATAAAATGCAATCAAGATCTCTAAGTAACTCGTGCTGATTGCTTTCTCTCTTCCACAGTTTACACTCCTGAGCAATTGGCAGAGAAGTATGGAAACACAACTTTCCTGATTTACTGTCTGATTTTGGCTGTAGTTGTTTGCCTGAATCACTCAATATATAGGTGGGAGTGTGTGACATACTTCAACATAGTGAATGGCATTAAATAAAGCTTCTAATTGATGATTTCATAGGTCATTTCTGATTCCATGATTCTCTGACTTTTTTTCTTTTTTTAATTGTGGAAAATACAGAAAAGGAGAACTGGAACTTGATCATTCAGGGAACGCTAAGCCCTACTGGCACACACTTCTTCCACTTTCTTATGCTATTGTTTCAGGCGCTGTGGGATCATGCTCAGTGCTGTTTGCAAAGTCTCTGTATGTTTTGCTTCATCATGATTGCTTCTCTGCAAATATTGTTTAGAGCATCTTGTGATTCTTAGTTAATTGTTTTAGGTCAAATCTGCTAAGATTGTCGATTTCAAGTGGCTACCAGTTGCATAGTTGGTTCACATATTCCATGCTCCTATTATTTTTTAGCACGGCCGGTTTTTGGGTAAGCAGCAAAAATCATCTAATTACTGAGTTTGGTCCATGAAAATGTGCTTCATTGCATGAGATGTTGAATTCTATTTGATTATTGTTATTTTCATGTCACATATCTGCAGATGGCAAGGCTTAATGAAGGACTGTCACTGTTTGATGCAATACTCATTGTGCCTATGTTTCAGATTATTTGGACATTTTTCTCTATCTGTACAGGATTTGTATATTTCCAGGAATATCAGGTGATCTTTGCAACCCCCGCTTACTGTTTTTAATTTGACATCATTACTGGTATCTCAGCTATTATTAATGCAATCACTCCAATTTACACTTTTTCCATAAACTCTTACATAGCATGGATTATTAAAGTGATTTCTTACTAAGTGCCAACAACATTTACAGCCATCTGTTGTTCTTTCAGAATTTGGGGTGGGGTGCGGTGAGGTGGGTGTTGGATTCTTTTATTTTGAGTGTTTATTTGTTGTTCACTGTGGGTGATGCAAGTTTAGTGGGGATAAGGATAAGTTTGATGCTTTGGTGGAGTTTGACAAGTTGCATGTTTTTCTCCAGTGTACTTATTTATCTTAAGACTAAATCTGTGTTATCCCGTGGTAGTTTCATGTCTCTAAAAGTGGTCTTTCGAAATTGCTTCTACATGAATTCAGGTATTTGATTCATTAAGAACTACAATGTTCATATTAGGAATGATATCTGTGTTCATAGGCATATCTTTGCTGGCCCCTGATGAATCGAGAGGTATGTTTATATTTGATGGAACTTCGTATTTTGATCATGTTATCAAGGATCAAGATCCAGTTAACAATTATGGATTTTGTCAGGAGGAGAAATCAAAGATACAGGTCTGACGTCCTTAACTGCAAATCACCCAAATAATTCAGACAGGTAACACCTAAAATTGCAATATATGTTGTAGTGGTTTGGCGTTTGGTATTTGTCACTTAGTGCTCATTGGCCCTTTTCTGTTGCTATAACGGGCTAATTTTCTTGTATAGAACCTTCATATACTTTCTCCAATACGTGATTGCCAAGATTAATAGTAATCTGACTAATCTTGCTTCTAATGTGGGCAACCAATTAGCAGGTTTATTATACTACCTTCTGAAGATTCACAAATTAAAGGCATGAGATCTCTTCAGCGTATGATGCGGTTAAAAGCTGAGAAGTTGATTGCCAAGGCTAAGGTCCTGGCGTTGCCTTTAGAAGTCTCTTGAGCTGAGCTGAGCTGGGTGGGCGTTGCCTTTTATTGGGTGATGATGGTATGTCCTCCTGACCTTGCTTGTTTCTGTGCAGGCTGTGTGTTCGTTGTCTCTGGGTCTAGGCGAAGAATCAATTCATGCCTCGTCAGTTCTAGTGATGCCCATGGTTTCATCAAAAATAACTGGATTCAGAGGGAATGGTCTTGACAGGGCCAAGTTATTCTCGTTCAGAGCAACAGGTTGGAGTGGGGTCGACGACGAGGACAGTAAGAACTTGTTGGAGGTATCCACAATGCATCAGCAAAGCACCAAGTAGGTCTGCTCTAATCACCCCATACCCGTACCTTATGTATGTACACATTCAGCATTTTAATTTTTACAAGTTCGTGTTCCGTTGTACACATTCGCCCTTTTAATTTGTACGGGAACCAGCTTCTAGGTTGGAAATTCTTTCAAGTAAACTTACATAGTTAAACCTGAGCTTAACCTTATGTTTACTGTATAGTTTCTCCCCACAATTAAAATACAAAACGAAATTTCAAGTAAACAAACCCCAACAAATACAAGGAAATTTTTTATTTGTTTTGAGTTACAAAAGTTAAGATTGAAAAATAAATAATTTTTTATTTTTTATTTTCATATGTACACTATCAAAATATTGTCTTTTTCTAGCGGTATGAAATCCGCTGCAAATGCTTATTTTTTGTAGCAAAATATTATTTGTGACGATTTTGTTGCGGAATTTGGTCGGTACGTTTATTCCAGTAACAAAAAAAATATTCGCCACAAATGTCGTAACAAAGGAGTAGTGGTCAACGTCTATGGGAGGACTTTTGTTACGATTTTTTGTACGTGACAAAAAGTAGAAGTCTTTTTGTAACGAATCGTTGCCGTAACAAATGCAGCGGTGCAAAAGTTTTCTAATAATTACAATATCTTTTCATTGTAACGAAGCATAGTCGTAACAAATAATGCATTGCAAATGTTTTTTGACATCCATATTATCTTTTTGTAATGGTTTTCGTAACATCTTTTCGTGTAAAAAAAAAAACATTTGTCCGTTAAAAATAACTTTTTGTTACGACTTAAATATGCAATTGTCACGATGTATGTAATAATATCTATTTCATGACAATTCTCATACAATCTTTCTTTCCATATTTTATACAAAATCGATCATAATACCTATAAAAACAAAAATGATTCAACCACTGTCCAAGAAATTCCATAATTAGTTACACTAACAATCGTGTCAACTACACAAAAAGGACTGCATAAAGAGCAAACAAACCAAAATTATATACTTATGAGCAAAATGATCATCTAGTAAGCCCAAAAAGTCATAATTATACATAAAATGCTCAATCCATGGTCTGATGCTCATGCAGCGACAAGAAACGGAAGAACTCAGGTGTGGTGAACCAACTGCAATGAATAACCGTGATAAAGATTTTAGCCATTGTTAGCATATCAACTATATACAACAATTGCAAAAAAAGAAGACATTTTACCATGAAGAATAATTTATATCTCATTACTAAAACTTATAAGGGTGTAATCCTTCTAAAGGGTGTAATCTCTCTCCCCAAGTTTCATTGGTGCAATTGGCACTGAAGGAATATTGATTTTTTCATATCCCTTGTAATGACATAGTTCCTTGTGGAAGGGCTCTGGCACCAAATTGAGTACCATCTCCATGATCCACAAATCCATCGAACACTATCACTTTCTTGAAGTAAGGCACTTAAAGACAAAGATAACAATGCATTGTCAACTCCATAATCTACTCTACGTTCATTTTTTTTTGTTTCTTCCTTACGCCGAAGTTTATCAATTTTCCATCAAACTTTGTTTGAACTGTTACCTACATCCATGTATAATTAATTTCTAAATGTCAAATTTCATGCCAAGCAATATGAATACTTCAACCAATAATTAAGGAACAACAATGCCAAAATTCATTTAGTTAGCTATGAAAAATAACAATTTTAAACGAATTTATGAAAACATGTGAGTTGCAAACTTGTAACTGACATATGAAAGTAAACTACATTATCCTGACACATATGAATAAATCAAGAATGTGGTAGCAAACAGAACTTCGTATTACAACAAAAAAAAATCCATCAACTTGTTATACAAACCATATCATGAATAAGAATATAGTAATGTTAAAATCCAAACACAAGAGATTTAACAACATTGAAATCATCACATATTTAACACTTGCAGTAAGTTATAGATTTTTGTTAAGTTTCCAAAAGTCTTTGCGCAAGCAAAAACATAAAAATAGTTATAAAGCCATGCTTGGTTGAGGAAAAACATACAACCAATAAAGATAAGATTATTCAAGCACTTAAAAAGTGATTCAAGCCTTGATTGGACACTACAATTGATATACTTATAACATGTATGATATCGTAAAAGTTAGACATTCAAACTCATTCCTCTCAATTTCTTGGCATTCATTGTACATACAACCCATCACGTTTTCAAAGGTTTATCTTGAAAAATTAGTGATATATCTTCGAGATGAGATGATAAGTATACAGGTGAAGCTTCCACCAAGAAACTCTGCGTATATAGTTCCACCTCTTTTCTGCATCCACCAATTATTTATAAAATAATGTTGGCTAATATCAAGTTAATTGGGAAATCAACTGCATGTACAAAAAATTTCTTTAAATAATTCCACCAAATAAAGTTCAAGTACCTTAGCATGCTCGAGCTCTTCCAGAAATAATATCGCAGACTCTTACCCCATCATATATCCATCATAATATTGGAGAATAATTGGAATAGGAAAGAATTTTGTTAGTGTTGAAATGTTATTCAAATTACACAAAAAATTTGCAGAATAATTCACCCAAATAAATTGCTATAATCTAGTATGGTTTAAAATTTATACCATTAATGTCTATCTAAATTTTAGGCAGGACGTTAGGCACTGATTAGTAGAAGATATTAGCCTTAATATCATTCCCTTTATTGTCTGTCTATGCACTAAGTTACCTTTTGAATGAAATCTGCGCGGCTTAGCTCTATGCATTTTGCAACTAATTTTTTTTTTTGTTCTTCTTGCATCCTCAATACTCTTCTTTGGCAGAATCTTTAGTCTGCAATAGAAAGAAAATACATAAAAATCAGCATGTTGCGATTTATGACAATTTGAAACTAATGTAGATACTAAATACTAAATGTGGATTCCCACCTAAAGGCAATCATCATCCTCCTTGTCTTTTCAAGAGTCAAGCCAGCCTAGCAAATTTTAACCAATGATTCTCCACTTATTGTAGCATCAGATTATTACATTTGGACAACCAAAACAAGGGAGCCCTCGAAAACTTCTCTTTGGATCCTTAAATCTCTGTAAATTAAATTAAATTATAATTTTATCGCATTTTATATGCAGCATGTATGCTCAACAGCAGAACCAATAATAGAGCATGTCAAAGCTGGATTTCATCATAATCTGTTTAAGAACAGAGGCTGGAAGATGATGCCTGCCTCATCCTCTACTCAGCCCGGGAAGACATCTAACCTTGCTGGAGCATTTTGAAATATATTGATTATTTATGTCTATATGTAATTGGTTGACTCCTTTAATATTTTAGTTTTAGTTTAATTCTAAAACTATGATGGCTTGTCGTCCGGTGCTTCATCCTCCATTTTTGTTCCTTCCACCCGGGTATGCTTGGTGTAGTTTTAAAATTTTTTACTTCGGTATTAATATAATCACTTGATCTTTTTGTTAAAAAAAAAAAACAATAATCAAACACCTCAAAATACAGATCGAGTAAAACTGAGAATAATGATTTTCTTTTCATCTTTTTTATTATAAAAAAAAATTGTATTTGAAAATAAAGAAACATATATCACAAAGACCCACTTTGAACTAAAAAAATTCTAAAAAGACTACATGAAGATAGATGGCTCCAATTGTACTTATATGTAGTTGAAATGAAAAGCTTCATATAAGTATAAATTACTTAATCTATTATTATAAAATGGTAGCATTAGATTCGCTGATAGCATTTTTCATGCTATTCTTCAAAGCCAACATAGAGCAATGATGACCAATACTCGGAGCTAAAAAAGAAATATTAGAGGATAAAGAATTGAAATATTATCCTCATTATTCAGCACCAAGCATTCTTATGAATGATAAAGAATAGTTTTCTAATTCCCATTGTACGTATACAAAAGTGAATGAGCTATTAACATGCAAAAATGAAACCTTTATTTGGAGGTTGAAATGAATTCATAAGATAAAATATATTGCATCTACATACCTCCAAAAAACTTGCCAACCAAATGTCACCTTTTGATGTTGCATATAAGAGAAGAAACTTCTAAATAAGACAACGCTTAAAGGGGCCTCCACGCCCCTCCTAGAGATCACAAATTACAAGAGCAAGTTGCTGATCTCAAGATTTAGCACAAACTGTAACAACAGAAGATGCATCTTCTCCAAGTAAAAAGGAAGTTACTGCAAGATCTAGTTGATGTTTTCCCTTCAGTACATAAACATTTTCAACAGTGGCTTCCTTATTTATAACATATGCGTAATAACATGGAAAAGTGCATCTGATAAACACAATGGATCACCATATGTCCAATTTTAATTGTTTTGAATGGAGCCACACACCAGGACTATTATTTATATTGGAAATGACAAGTGTAAATTGCAATTAATGAATGTTCAGCTTGAGAAGATGTGATGAATACAAATATTTAATGAAATCTGGCATATAATAGTTTGATAAATAAAGCATAGATGTGATTTATCTCACTATCTTTCTATTTTAGGACATGTATAGTACTGCAAACAGATGTCTTTGTGCTAATAAGTCAAACAATGACCATGAATCGAATCCATATTCAATTGGTTAAAAGAAATTATCAAAACTTTGGCAAACAAACTTTTTATCCCATTACTTGGACTTTAGCATTCCTTATGAAAATTACATTAACACAGTTCTTCAATCCATGTTGTAGACTATGAAACTTATTGTGCAACTTGTTCATAGTGAAATATGAATATCACTTATAGAATGTAACCAAGATTAATATTTGAAATATTTAAGAAATTACGTCTGAATAGCTATTGGCTTTTAGAAACTATCTTAAATTCGTGTAGTTTAACAGGTTATTCTTGTTTCCATCAACTATGAACACAAAATGCTGCACAGGATTATAAAGTCTCTATATAGAGATACTCAGGGAATATTTATCAAATTAACAAATATTATTATCATCAACAAAATCAAGAATACCAATACCAAACATCCACCTTAAAGATATGAACTTAAATAATCTATCTAAACAAACTTAGTGTAATTGCACGAGGAATTGAATAGTTCTCTGCCAAGCTCGTCGGCATAATCTGCTGGTTGGAGTTACTTAAATTTTGGGGTGGCATTGTTACTGCGCCTCTCCCCATTGAATTAGAAATTGAATAAGGCTTAACAATTGATACTCTAATTTCTAAGTCAAGAGGGTTTAAGAGAATTTGATTCAATAGATCCTCAAAAGTTAAAGAACATATGGATTTGAAACATAGATTACAATCACCACTCACATGTAACCAACCAAGATTATATAAAATCCTGAATATATATATATATATATATATCAGGCTTTGGAACAATGCCTTGATCTTATTGAACTGAACATCAATTTTATTTTTTTAATAAGAAACCACAAAAATAGAAATCGCTATTAGCTAATAAGTGACTAACCGAATAAAAAAAATAAAATAAAATATCAGGCTTTGGAACAATGCCTTTATATTAAATTGAACATCAATTTTTTTTTTTAAAAAGAACCACAAATAGGAATCGCTATTAACTAATCAGTGACTAACAGAATAAAAAAAAATTAAGCAAAAAAAATTAAGACCTATCCAAAACTCACAATCGAATCGAGGTATAATTGATCTCGACAAGAAACCCAACCCCAAATCTGTAGTTCACACAAATCAACTGTAATTCCCGATCCATAATCGAGTTGGCCTTTAAATATTTTGTTAACTAAATATCTTAAGGTTGTTATTCTCAATATGTAATGTTCAAATGACTATATATTTTATAATTCATATCTGATTTTTATAAAATTTGTGTCATTGGATAGGATTTTAAGTTATCTTTCTAATTCCACAAACAATGAGTCAATCCAAGTCCAAATGAAAGAGTTATGGCTAAAATAGTATTCAAAGGTCAGCTGTATATTCAAATACAATTTTAGAAAACGTCAATGCGACTTTAACTCCACTTTTAAACATAAAATATTATTTTATCCCTTATATTTAATCTTTATTTCATCCCCCAAACACTCCTAAACAAACCCGAGCCGTCATCCCCTTCCCTCCCACTCAAGTTGATGTGATTTTGGAGTAAGTTTTATACCTTCTTCTTCTTTACTTTTGGAATTCGATTTCATAACATGTGTGCATTATTTTAAGTTATTTCATTTATTTAAATAATGGAATTACTGTTCTAAAACCATATTCATATTATTCATGTTTTTATTTTCATTTTGACATATTATATGAGTTATTTGAAAGACAAATGAATTTTATATGATTTTATAAAGTTATACACTCATTTTCTTGACAGAAAAACATTACAGACTGCTCGAGGGATTTTCTGTAACTTTTTTATGCTATTTTCACACTTTTTATTCATGTTAAATTTAGATATTTGTGTTAAATTTAGTTAGAGACCAATTTTGTTCCATTTGGATATAAAGCGAATTTTATATAAATTTTTAAATTTACACATCCTATTTCTTGACTAAGATTCTGTTCAGTATGTTTAATTTATATTATGTTCTTTATGGAACTTCATTTTGTGTTTTTGTTTACTTTAAATATAGATATATGTGTTATCTTTCGTTAGAGATAAGTAAGTTTGTCCCATTTGAGTGTAAAGTGGATTTTTAGTGATTTTTATAATACAAACTGTTCTATTTTTTCGAAGTGAACAGGCTTTCTGAGTTAAGATGATATTCTGAATGTAATTAAAATTAATAATTTTATTTTTGATCTTTGAAATATAACTTAGGAACGTTAGCTTTGATTTGACACTAATTTCATAATATTTGAACCAAGAATGAATTTACGGTGAATTTATCGTTTTCTCATTTCTCTAGGGTTTGCTTTGCGATTCATCGGTAGAACTCTTCACTCTTGGTAAGTTTTCCATCAATTTATTCATTTCTTTTGAGAAATCTGTTTGATCCCCTTCCTTGTTAATGTTAGCGGTTTCATTTGAATTTCTAGGATTGTTATTCGCGAGACGACCGTGAAAAAGAAAACAGCATAGTTCTTCACTTGCATCTGATCGGAGTTTATTGCGCATCCAACATGTTTAATTGTAAGCGCCAGGCGAATCGAACCATCTCAATTTTTAGTTTCTGTTTTATTCGATGAGTATTTGTATTTCGATGTACAACGTGATTCACGATTTATATCCTGGTGCTACGTGTTGGAATTTGAATTTGAATTTGTGATTATAATCGATATTGTTGTGTTTTTATGCAGTATGAATTTTCCGATTATAGTTGGATTCTGCGAATTTTTACAGTGAATTGCTAGATCTAGTTTGATCGATTGACACTGAGAATCATGAATTATATGTGAAGTATACCATTTGTTCATTAGTAGAATCGATAAACCTCTTTCATGTCATCTGGAAAATTGGTCTATATTTGTATGTAATTGATCCAGATTAGTTGTTGTGAGCTCTGTTAAAAGTTTTACTTTAAAAGAGATCTGTTATTACCTTTCGAATTTATCGAATTCTTGTCTTTCTGAATTGCATTTAACTGTTTACAAGGGAAGAACCGAATGACATAATGGAATTAAAGGGAGGGAAGAACAAGTCTAGTAGTAAAAACTTATCATATGAAGCTCCTCTCGAATACACAATCGAATATGTTCGCCCGAACGGAGGAATCAAGAAGTTCCGATCTGCTCCATACTCCAACGTGAGCTTTACTTGTTACCCTGTAATATTTATCCAGTTTACGATTAATCTTGTGCTGTTATAGGCATTTTATTTGTCAACTTTTTGAACTTCAGTGTGCTCGGAAGCCATCCTGATATTCGTCAAGCTCTGTGATCATAACCAGTTCTTCAGCTTTCAAACTCTGCTTTCGTATTATTTCCTCGCGCCTTTTCCTACTGAATCAAAATAGCTATGGTGCCCTCGGCAATCGGTTTTGAAGGTTATGAGAAAAGACTTGAGATATCGTTTTTCAATCCTGGAATATTTGCTGATCCTGAGAACCGTGGCCTCCGAGCTCTTTCTAAAGCGCAGTTGGATGAAATTCTGGCGCCAGCAGAATGCATAATTGTCGCATCATTATGCAATGATGAAGTTGATTCCTATGTGCTGTCGGAGTCTAGCCTTTTCGTGTACCCGTACAGGATGATCCTCAAAACTTGTGGGACTACTAAATTAATGCTCTCGATCCCGCCCGTCGTTAATCTCGCTGGAATGATCGGGCTCACGGTGTGCTCTGTCAGATACACTCGCGGATGCTTTATGTACCCGGGCGCTCAGCCATATTCACATCGAAGCTTTTCTGACGAAGTCGCTGTTCTCGATCGCCATTTCGCCAAACTTGGCCTCATCAGCGAAGTTCACGTGATGTGCGACGACGACAGGCGTAATAAATGGCACGTCTACTCCGCCTGTGCTAAATCGGATAGCGTCGAGTCGCGTGTTTACACGTTGGAAATGTGCATGACGCATTTGGATAAGAATAAGGCGTCGGTGTTCTTCAAGAATCGCTCGAGCTCCGCAAATTGCGGTATTCATACTAAATACATTGTGTTTTTGGTCTATTAATAGTGTTTAAATTTGAAATTTTATATGATTTCAACTAGTTCTTGTATCTTTGAGAAGATATATTAATCGAATCATTAAATTTATTGATTATAGAGGATTGAATTAATATTTTTTAGATAGATATTGAAAAAAAAATTGATAAGAAATAAGCAAAAGAAATTGTAAAAATTGCGACGGAATTAGCAATAGTTATATTCTCTCGCAATTTGCTATTCTATTTGCAACACATATATTCTTTTTTTAAAATGCGTTGCAAAAACTTGCAATAGAATTAGCCACAATTTTTTTCCATTACATTGCATTATGATAACAATATATTTCTGTAGTAAAATTCTGTAACAAAAAATTGCGATAGAAATGATTGTCACTAATTCTATTGCAATTCTCTGCAACGGAAAATTTTAATTGTCACGTTGGGTTACTACAATAATATTTACTACAACTTCTACTTGGTCGCAAATTCCGTTGTAATTGAAAGTTGTGATAGAAATTTTGTCAGTTATGACGGAATTTTTCCGTAGTAATTTGTAATTTCTTTTGTAGTGGTAAGTTAATTGATCGAATTTGATGATTAGGTGAAGTCCGACCGAACCAAGTCCTACGAGTCGGTGGTAGTAGAGTTGGGTAGCTTCCCCTAAGTAAGGTAAGGGGTTAAATTATGCATATTTGAAATGATTGACCATTAAACTACGTGTCTTAGTTAAATAGGCTATTATAATCATATCTTTTTTTGTGATATGTGGTGAACTTGCTATTAAGAATTCATAATTTTTGTAAGCCGTGGATTTGGCTAGACTTACCGTTGATTGGAAAATTGATTATTAATTTATGTATGCCGTGGATTTGGCTAAACTTAGTTGTTGATTGGAAAGTCAGTTATTAATTTGTGTATGCCGTGGATTTGGCTGGACTTAGCCGTTGATTGGCAAGTCGGTTATTAATTTGTGTATGCCGTGGATTTGGCTGGACTTAGCCGTTGATCGGAAAGTCAATTATTAATTTGTGTATGTCGTGGATTTGACTAGACTTAGATGCTGATTGACAAGTCGATTCATTAATTTATGTATGCTATGGATTTGGCTAGATCTAGTCGTTGATTAACAAGTCAATTCATTATTCGTTATGTCATGAATTTGGCTAGACTTAGCCATTGATTGGCAAGTCGGCTGATATGTTTTGAGCCATGTATTTTGGCAAGTTGTAGTTGTTGTATGACTATCATTTATTGTTGATAAATTGTTTCGTGCATTGCATATTTAATTCCTTACTCAGCTTTAGATGTTTACCACCCTTTTCTATGATGAGTTGATTTCCGGACCTTCACCCACTTGATGCATCATAGGGATGGGACTTTATCGAGCATGCATGATTTTTATCTAATAATGTCCGAACTTATGATTTTTATATACTCCCTATTTTGAGATTCCTACTTTTGAGATGCATTGAGACTCTTAATACATGTAAAGACTTCGAACAATTACATGTTTTTTAAATGCTTAAGGGTGTGTTGGAAAATATATTTTAAAATTTCCGAAAAGAAAAATATTTACACTCACTATTATGATATTTTAGCCTTAGCATCGGGGCACATCATGTTATTTATTATTATTATTATTTTTACGTGATGTTGTTCTGGTGTTGGCGTGTGATACTTCAAATATATATATATATACATATATATTTATTTGGGGTGTTACATCAACCTAATAAAAAATGCCTCTTCTAATATAAAAAAATATGATTTTTCCCAAACCCTAGATCAAATTAAAACCACTCCAAATTGTTAACATACATTGCGATTTCTTCACCCTGTGTGGCAAATTATTATTCTTCATGCCGGTGAAGTTCTTAAGGGATACACACGGCTGAACGACGGCGATCCGTGGTCGAGCTTGGCTAGAGCGGGGCGATGACGATTCCGGATTCATGAAAATAGCTTAAGTTTGACAGAGGAGGGTAACACTTATACCCCAAACACGATTTTAATCATGTTCTAAATATAAACACATTTTATTCTGAATGGTTTAATTAATGGATTTGTTTTTTCAAAAATTCATTTCTTTATTAAACAAAATTAATTTGAATTCTTTTAAATTTTTGTTACAATATGAGTACCGCAATAAATGATTTTTGAATGATTTTCCGTAATTTTTGTTAATTGTAACGGTAAAATATTCGGGACAAAAAAATTCATAGTTTGACCAAGAAATATACTTTTTGCTACGAAAAATTTCGTAACTAATAATATCATTTGTCACAAACAAATTGTTACCGTTAGAAAATCGCTACAAATAGTCATTATTTTGGTAGTGGTACAAAAAGATAAAATTAACAAAATGATAACTTGAATGTATGATAATTTTTTTTTAATATTTAATATTTATAATTTTTTTAAATATATATTATTTCTATATTATAAAAAATACATTTAAATTATTTTAAAAAGTAAAAAATTACTAATCAAATGTTGTTATGATTCATCAACACCTACAAATGTCTATATATTATAATTTGTTTTAAATATATACTTTTACTCCGTTATGCTTTTATATATATATTCTAATACTCTTTGACGAGTTAATATACATTATTTGTATTTTTTATATAGTCAAATTATCAAATATTTTCAAGTAAAACAAAACAAAATAAAATAAAGACAATTCACACAACTACAAATTGAAAAAATTGATATATGTTATTAAATTTGAAAAGAAAAACTACAATGAAAATAATTTTGATATTGTTGGAACCTAAAATTCGGAGGTTCCAACGCCGTTCGTTGATTTGTCGGTGCGGGTTCCGAAGGTACTCCAAAAAGTCTGTCCGTCATCGGATTTTGGGCGGCTCCTTCGGTAGAGCCTGCACGGCTTCGAGCCTAAGCGAGGCTTCGAGCCTAAACAATCGATTTCGATAGATTTAAATAACATCTACTAAAACTTGGATAAATCTATTGGAAATCGAATAAAAAAAACATGTAATTCGAATTAAAATGCATAAAAAAAAACTAAAACATGAAAAGAAAATAGAAAAAAATACGAGTTCATCTTCTTGTACGTGTGTGATGTATTTTTTCCTAGTTTTAATCCTAAGATTAGAATAACCGCCTCTTCCCACTAAAAGGAGTAGTTCCAATTATTCCTCAACCACTCAGCCGCTTGGTAACCTTCCATTACTACCTCAAACTGCATGGTAACCTCCTTGCACTACCTCCAACTGTCTAGTAACCTCCTTCCATCAGTTCCCTGGTAACCTCCTTCCATCAGCTCCTAACTACCTGGTAACCTCCTTCCATCAGCTTCCAACCACTTCCATTGCCTCTGGACTGGATTCCACTTGCTCTGAACTTCTCCCATTGCCTCTGGACTAGATCTTCCGCTTAGTCCAACTTGTTTCCATCGTACTCCTAGCCGGTCTACGGGGATGTGTCTCCAACAGCCTCGAGTTAAATGAAATCTTCGGTTTTTCTCTTGTTGGCTTATTCCATGAAGCTTTTTGAATAAAGTATGAAAGTGCATAGACGCTCCACTAATGATCAATATGAAATTATTAACCCATGGCCAACGGAGGTAGTTATCCCATGATCTATGGAAGCTGTTGCTTTCTATCTTGTGGAGGCAACCTTCCTCTGCTTTGTGGAAGCACCGCAGTCCAATGTAGGTAGTTATTTTCAACTCAATGGAGACAACAATTTCTGACCTTATGGAAATATTTTTCCGGGATGGAGGCGCCATAGTCCAAGAAGTTGCTGCCCTAAGGTCCATGGAGGTTGTTGCTTTCTGTCCTGTGGAAATACCACAATCCAATGAAAGTTGTTGTCTTCGACTTTGTGGAGGCAGCAGTATTTGGATCCAAGGCTTGAATCTCCATTGTTGTTGAGCGGCTCCGTGGCCAATGAGCTCTGGCTCCACTTTTGTCTTTGAGCCTCATTCACGTTCAGGTGCTTTTGGACCCATGTCCAACAATGCTCTCCTCAAAAGGGCTGGGTGATTGCTTCCATTGAGCCCATGTCCTTTTGTTTTGAGCCGTTCGCTTGAATCAACTATGGTCACTTCTGTTGACAAGGGATCCTCCTCGACCTTCACTTCTTGGACTTCATTTCCATCCCAAAACATCAACGTTTGATGAAGTGTCGAAGGCACACACTCGCATGCATGAATCCAATTCCGTCCCAAGAAAGCCGAATAGAATGGTCTACTATCGATCACCATGAAATTGATGATATTTCCTTTGTCCCTATATGCACACTCAATGTGATCATACCTACTGGTTTGTAAGAATTCCCCACAAAATTGGTAAGTCATACAAATGTAGAAATAAGTCGTCACTAGTCTTTCTGAACTTCCATAGGGTCTCAATTGGAAACACATTCACAGAAGCTCCATTGTCCACCAGAACTTGGTCAAACGGATAGCCATTAATCGAGACCTGAATGTGCAAAGGCTTGACATGTTAGTTTTGGCCAGTCCCGTGCCTCTTAAATTCTATCATCATTGCCGCATCATTCCATTCGAAGATAGGCTCTTCGTCAACGACAACTTTCTCTAACTCTTGAACTTCTTCCGGAGGCTCCTCTACTTGCTTCATTCTAGGAAAAGACTCCATAGCCTGGTTCCTTAGCGGCTTCACAGCCTGCTTTCTTTCTGGAAGTGGCTCCACAACCTGCTTCCTTTCTGAAAGCGGCTCCAGAACTTGCTTCCTTAGCGGTTCCACAGCCTGCTTTATTTCTTGAAGCGGCTCCATAACCTATTTTTTCTCTGAAAGTGACTCCACAACCTGCTTCCTTTTTTAAAGCGGCTCCACAGCCTGCCTTCTCTCTGAAATCGGCTTCACAACTTGCTTCCTTGGCATCTTCATGACTTGCTTTCTTTCTGGAAATGGCTCCATAGCCTGTTTCTTTTATTTCTTTCTCTCTGAAAGCGGCTCCACAACTTGCTTTTTCTCTGAAAGCGGCTCCACAACCTTATTTCTCTCTAAAAGCGGCTCCACAGTCTGCTTCCTTGGCAGCTTCAGGACTTGCTTCCTTGGCGGCTCCATGGTCTGCTTTCTTTCTGGAAGTGGCTCCACTGATTCATTGGTGCCTCTATGGCCTGCTTCCTTTCTGGAAGCGGCCCTACAACTTGCTTCCTTAGCGGCTTTACAACCTGCTTTCTTTCTTGAAACAGCTCCACAGCCTGCTTCTTTGGCGGCTCCATGGCCTGATTTTTTTTTTTTTTTTCTGGAAACGGCTCCATAGCCTGCTTCTTTTTTGGAGGCGGCTCCTCCATCTGTTTTTCTTTTAGAGATGGCTTGTGTGACCTTTCATCCTCCATACGAGCCTTCAACTTTCTTCTTTGCTCTCGCCTCTTTTGAGTCCTGGTGAGTCTCCTTATTGCCCCATAGTGGAAAGCTTCAGCTCATTCACAATCTATTTTTCATTCTCTTTCACGATAGGAGGCTTTCGTGTCGCATTGGGAATGATGGTGATTTGGTCAGCCGTGATAACAGTCCAAATTCGTTTCCCATTTGTGAATTTCACTTCTGCTACGATGGCCTCCGGCTTGGGTCCGTTGTATACTTTCTTCCTTTCCGATCCCGAGGCTTTCAGACTTTGGATGGTGACACCGACATTAGGCTCCCTATTGACCGTCCTTTGTCTTACCTTCTCCATGTTCGAACTTGAGACTTTATCAAATGTCACTCTTGTAAGGACAGATTTTTTAGCAGGGGCCTTTGGTCCTAGACAGTCTTAAATCAAAGGTTTTAACGGCTGGGTGCTAAGCCTGTTTTTCATAAGTCCTTTAGCCGTCATAGTATTAGCAAAAGGAATAAAACCTTTGGTCGGCTTCAATGCCAGACACAAATAAGTCTTTCCATTTTCTAATTTCGTGGCCAAAGCTTCTGCCTCCGCAAAATCCTTTTCGTTTGAAGTCGCTAGGGCTTTTACCCCTACAGGCTCATTTTCGTATGGAACCTCCATAGCCTCTAGAGTCTCTTCCCCTACAACCTCCTTTTCGTATGGAGTCTCCATGGTTTCTGGAGCCTATGTCCCTGCAGAGTC